TTAAGATATATATACACACACACACACATAAAATTCAAGCTATATAAAGTACGTAAGTATTTGAGACATATAAAATGAGTTTAAGATTCATGTATAAATTTGTATGCATAATAAGAAATGAACAAACTATTTTTTTTAAAAAAGTATAAAACAAATACTTCCCAGAGGAGGGAGCCTGAATGCCAATGAGGATGTAGAAAAATAAGAATTCTCATGCACATAGACCAATAAATTGGTACGATGCTCCTTTGGAGAGTAATTTGGCATTACTCTAGTGCATATATCTAGTGTGTTATTCTGGGTTCTCCAGAGAAACAGAACCAATAGGATACATATATATATATATATATATATATATGGAGAGAGGGAGAAGGAGAGAGAGGGAGAGAGACAGAGACTTATCATAAAGAATTGGCTCATGTGATTATGGAGGCTGAGAGGCCCAGATCAGCAGTTGACAAGGTGGGGACCCAGGAGAGCAATGGTAAAGTTCCAGTTCAAGTCTGAAGGCCTTCAAATCAGGAAAACTGATGGTGTAAGTTTCCATCAGAAGGTAGACGATCCATATCTCAGCTTGAGGATGCAGAGAGATTTCTTCCTTAGCCAGCCTTTCGTTCTCGCAAGGCCTTCAGTGGATTGATTGGGTGAGATCCACCCACACTGAAGAGGACGAACTGCTTCACTCTGTCTAGTAATTTAAATGTTAATCTCATCCAGAAACATCCTCACAGACATACCCAGAATAACGTATCACCAAACATCCGAGCACCCTGTGGCACAAAGTCATAATTCCACCCCACGTGACACCACTCTATACACAACTGGAATACACTAACCCTGTTCCCAGAAGGGGAAACAAAGTCTTTGCGTGGTGTTTGCTTTCTCCTTAATACTTCTCCCGTAACTTAAATACTGTGATATATAAAGTTAATATATCTTATGTTATACGATAAAAGAATAGGGGAGGGAAGAAAACAAAGACAATATATATTACATACATAATATTACATGTTATGATATATAATACATACACACAAACATGCTCGTAATAGAAAATAAGCCAGCTGTCCCACTTCTACATATATGGGTACGGTAAATGTCTGCACATCTGTGCAAGGAGACACGCACAAAACTGCTTATTGCAGCATTGCTTCTAATAGAAAAATGCTAGAAACAAACTAAGTGGCCATCTTCCGTAGATATCGCATCTTATAGGCAAACAACAGAATCTTATTTAGCCATAAAAATGAATAAACAAGGGCTAAAGATGTAAGCATGGATAACCCCAAAAGACGAAGTTGAGTGTAAAAAGCAAATTACAGGGGCGCCTGGGTGGCTCCGTCAGTTAAGCGGCTGACTCTTGGAAACAACGTGCCCACAGCGTGCAACCAGAACATGGAAAAGACTCGTCATCTAGCCTCAGAGATTTTTCCAAACCACCTTCCATTCCTTCACTCAGGTCTACTGCTGTGTGGTCTCATCCTACTGAGTCCGAGTCCCTTGACTGAATACATATCCCATTCCCATACACACCATGCTCTGAAGGTCTCTGGCTGTGACCCTGGACACTGCCTGATGGACATGATTTGGTAGTTGTCTCCTGTTCCTGACATGGCAGTTTGAGGCAAGAGATGCTCTTCTCTTTGACCCAGACTCCAGGACGCATGCTGGCCAGAAAACCCACTGGATCTCCCCAGGCAGAGACACAGGATTCTGGTTAGCCCTGACACATTCATGCCATCAACAGGCTGTGTAGACCAAAGGGTGGGATTTGATTGCTTGATGGGCCATTCAGAGCGAAAAAGGGATCGTCCAGATTAGAAAAGGTAGCAAAGTCTGCCAAATCTAAACTACCACTGAGGGGCGCCTGGGTGGCGCAGTCGGTTAAGCGTCCGACTTCAGCCAGGTCACGATCTCGCGGTCCGTGAGTTC